CGCAGGCTTTAATTCTGAAAATAGGCGATACATGAAGAGGATTTCTGCTTCTGACCTATCAACATTAATAATAAATATTTATTTAGAAATCGTGAGATGCGGTCTGGTGTGATGTAGGTTTCAGAAAAACATTTTCTTTATCGTGCCAACGTTTCGATCTTTATTGAGATCATCTTCAGGGCCTGGGATTTACAAACATTGTTTACATATAGCAATTACATTTTGGATGTGGAAAAATGAATTTATACAATGCAAAATATATTCAATCAAAGTATTTCTACTCACTCAAAGTGTTTGTCTTCTGTGTTTTTCTAAAAACCTACATCACATCATACGGCATTTCACTATTTCTAAATAAATATCGATTAACGGTCACTAATCACCACACATTAATAATAAACAATACTTCAAACTCTATAATTTACATGCATAAATTTTATGTAAGAAATGTGTAATAATATATAGTGCGTTTTTACCAATTTAAGTGCGAGGAATTTAAGGTATATAGAATATAATGCTACTACATCACTGAAGATTTATAGATAATTTTTTAGACATAATGGAATAAATAAAAGCTTTTGAAGCGATGAAATCAATAATTTTCTGTCGTGATCATGAATTCTTTTTAGAATAATATGTTTGTAGCCTTTTGTTTAAATTATGGATTATTTCTAATATTTGTATAACGGCCGTTACACTAGGAATTATTTTGTGCCTTGTATGCAGTCAATTAAAGTCAATACTTAAAAATTCAGACTAAATAATTCAATTGACAACTGAACAATCTGTGTGTTTTGTCAATGGATAAATGTAGAAACGTGAAATACTTGGAGGTGGATACATTCGTGGGAAATATTATAAATACGTTCAAGATAGATAACTCAATTAAAAAAAAGGATGTAAATAAAAAAATATATAATAAATAAAACGAATAAAGAGAGTGGTTGAGAGAGGGAGAAACCAGAAACTTACTAAAATAAGAATAAATGTGTAGGAAGATTAATAAATAATAAATATATAGGAAGATGTCTGTATAGCCGCAGAGATAAGGAAATATACAGATACGAACAAAGAGAGAAAAGTTCCTCTTTGTGAGAGAAAGGGTAAGTGAAAACAGATAGAAAAGGATAATTAAATAAATAATAACAAAAACTAAACAATTAAATACCGAGATAGATATATAGAAGGATCAATTTAAGCGATTTGAATCAGGAGAGAGGAATATAAAGATAAAAAAATTAGAAGTCACTAGTTTTCGTGGTCCGCTTGTCCAATCAATTAATCTTTCAATTAATTAAGGTTTTTAGTCGAGATAAAAAAGTCAGTGACACGAGCGGGATTCGAACCGACCATCTTTGGCTAGATATGCCGGTACACTACCACTTGAGTTATCGTGTCTTCAATCCACTCATGGCAAAAAGGAGGGAAAATTCAAAGGTGGGGTCGAGATAGATGTAAGATGTAGATGTAATATTTCAGGGTATGGTATACTACGCCCTTTAAGAGCTATTGGATCCCCTGTGCTCTGCCTAAAGCACATCGGTGAGTCCTATTTCATCAAGAAACTTGATTAATAGGCCCGGTTTCAGTGGTTGTAGTTCTTCTATGGTCACATTGTACATGTCGAGATAGGAAGTTACTGTCCGAGGAGATCGAAGTCACGATAGCTCAAATGTAGAATACCGGCGTATCTAGCAGAAGATCGTGGGTTCGAATCCCGCTCGTAACACTGACTTTTTTGCCTCAACTAAAAACCTTAATTAATTGAAAAATATTAATTGGTCAAGCGGACCAGGAAAGCAAGTGAATTTAATAAGTTAAAATGAAGTAAACTTCACTAAAGCTCTCCGTGGCTATTTCATTTGTCGCCGAGAATCAAATAGTCAAATATTACATCTGTAGTTAGATAACACATGTACAAATGTAAATATATAGATAATTCATAAATTCAAATTAATAAGTTGACAGTTACGGAAGTTTACACTACTAATTCGTCACAGATATATAGAGAAAGATAGGTTGACTGAGATGGTCCTTTTTCGCAGCAAAGTACACCTTAAACTGAAAGAGTGAACCATCTGTACATTGACATACATTTGGGTACAAGAAATTTAGTACATAACTCTGAACAATTTCTAACAAGAACAAAATGGATTGTGAGAACGTACTTTTAATCTTATTTAAATAACGTGGAAAAATAAGGAGCATTAAAAAATTATGACAAAGTATCTTTTTCGCATGACTTTTTAACGAGACAGGGCGTATTTAAATGTTTAAATATGAAAGAAGAGCTGTACGAATTTTGCCCATGTGTCTTCTTTTCAACGTTTATTTCTTAAGAGACTGTGGGTTTTTCTTTTCCTTTTTTGTCGTTTGAAGTACGCCGAGAGAAGACAGTAACGTTTATGACATTTTTGTGGGGCGTGGGGAATTTAGTCGTTCAAACTTTGAGAAGGGTAATACGGTGGCAAAGACTCGCAAAGCCCTTTTTAATGTTTAATGAAAGGAACCCGGAGAGGGGTAAGGGAAAATAAATGAATTTCTAATGAATTCCGAAGGCGCACTACTTATGTATATCTCATAATTAATCCTCCTCCAATTGCTATTGCGTATGCCGGACTGGGGCGCCCTCCGATAAATAATTACAGGTCTGTTAGACATAGACTACTATACCTGGAGGAGATAAGTTGAATTAGTTACGGCCGCTTGAAGGATAACCGAGGAAAATCATCGTCATTACTTCAGCCGCGAGTGGATCGCCAACTAGATTAATTTACTAAATTTCACCCCTAAATTCATGCTCTGACAGTCTAGATGAAGTAACATTCACACTTTGACCACTACTGGACAACTTCGGTTCTACTAATACAACATTGATGATTACATCTGAACATGAAAAAATGTGAACATGTATCTTTATTCGCTACCCAGTCTCACTCACCCAAACTTATATTATTATTTATAATTTATTCTCACATTGCAGCCCAAACTTTAACTTATTCAAATATTTTCACACTTCACACCCTCCTTCCCTATTCTTTCTATCACTTCTTCTTTAGAGATTTTTCTTACTTCTTGTTTTTCTGAATTCTCTGTTCCGTCCTGTCTGTTTCGTTGATAAAGATGATCGGCCTTCAATCATTAATTTGTGGGGATATCGATCGGGGATGAGGCACGAAAGAAAAAGTAGAAAGAAACACAAACAACTTCTTCTAATATCTAGCTTTCGGACGTCTATGACGCCTTCCTCCGGATTCTTTTTAGACAAGAGCTGTACGAATACACTACAAAAAATATTTATGACAATAAAAACTTACTTTGAAGGAAAATTGAGAAGAATGTTAACTCGGACATGCCTTGAAGAATTCTGAACAAGCTCGTCTACCAATCTCTCTAAGAGGTAACAAAAATGTTACACTCATGACAATGATACAAACGTTTCAGTAATAACTACTACAATATTAACTGCATCAAACACATTCATGAACTACAATTAATTTAAAAAATGTACAGCAATTTTCTAAATAACAATGACTAGATTATAACTGTAAATACAACTGAAGTTTGAGATGCCGCAGATTATACTCTTTATTGTCTTTATTCATGTGAAGAATTTCTTTTATAAGTCTTCTCCCATGGTCGTGTTCTTTATTCACAACATTCACGTAGTTGAATTTAACCCTATTTTTAAATTTATGGCGATGTTGGGAGAGCGCTTGTCTACATCCAAAAGCTCATTATTGTCTAAAACATTGTTGTATATATTTTTTTAATTTATTGTCTTCTATTTCGATGGATTAATTGTAGCTCATTGGCTTTATTTTATGACGCTAATAATGTAGTCATTACTGTTCAACTCTTGGTATCACTGTCATGTGCGAAACATTTTCGTTACCTAGCGTCAAAGTAAGATTTTATTTTTATGAATAATTTATCAATGTTTTTGTACTTTTTTTCTGTTGTTCGTAGACGGCCGACAGCTCGATAATGGAAGCAGTAGTTTTTCTTTCTACGTTTTCTTTCGTGGCCTTATCCCCGATCTAAATCTCCACAAATTTTCTATTTTGATTTCCTATATTTTTTAAGGGACTTTTCCTCCTTATCACCTATTCCCTGATTCTTTCTCTTTCTCTAACAATTTCTCCTCCCTCTCTCTGTTTCTGTCTCACTCTCACTCTGTCTATCAATTTATCTTTCTATCTCTATCTCTCTCTTTTTCTCTATCTGTATATCTATTTTCCTTTCTATCTATATATTTATCAGCTTATCTTTCTATTTATCTCTCTATCTACTATGTATTTATCTAACCATCTATCTAAATATCTTTCTCTGCATTTAAATATCTATCTCTCTCCCTCTCCTTCGTCTCCCTCTTTCCCTCTCACTTCCTCCCTCACCCTCACTTTCTCTCTCTCCCTCTCCCAATCCCTCTCCCTCTCCCTCACTCTCTCACTCCAAATCTTACACATTATATATCTACACTGATAGTTGTGTAACACTTAGATTCGCATTAATTCTAAAGACGAATCTAAGGATTAGATCAAAATTTTTGTAAACTTTCCCTCACTATCTTCTAGCTGAGATTTCAATACTCAGGTCAAGGAGAGGACTTCGCCTTAAGATCTGATGCATTCATGTCTTCCATACGGATTGGTGAAAACTGAAGGGAACTAGTGGGTGGAAAGGTTTGGACTATAATCTTGCTACAAATCTGAGGATTTCAAACTCTCTGAAAAGGTCCGACGGCGTCCGTACCATTACAAAGGATTTCGGAACGACTTTCTCAGAAAGCCCCTACCCTAGAATGTCCTTATTTCCTGATACCCCGATAATAGGGTATAAACCCTGTAGTGCTATGTGAAAGACGATTTCCTCCCTGAATACTTAACCCTATCAACGAATCTTTTTTTAATTATTATTGTTATTATTTTTCTGTAAGTTATATAGATCTGTCAAATAATTTATAAATATTAGTTATGTGTTTTTTTCTTTGCAGGGTCGATACGCGAGAGCGTGATTGGAAAGAAGCGGAACGTTGGTCGGACGAGAGCCGTTTCTCGAATCGGGCCTACTTCATGCCCGAAAAACATCCTGCAGAACTCGGCGTCGACCACGTCAGAAAGAACGACACCGGAGTCTACAGGTAATATAATAAACATTATAAAATCTCCTAGGTGACATAAACTAAGTTTAAACGTACATTTTTTCATTTTACGATAGTATTTTCTTTGAATATAACATAAGTACAATTGTTGATTTATACAACTGTAGAAATAAATTAAAACAAAAACTGGTAATTTAAACAAACTAAACAATCTGGCACTAGAATGCGAAGAATCATCCAGTGATGACTCTTCTAGGTGTCTCATCGTCCCACAAGTCACGAGGACATTGCTGCTTTGTCTCCTGGGAGGATTATTGAAATTAGTATGTTAAGGTTAGGACTAAGGAATTGCGGTGCAATGAAAGGGAATTATGGAATTAACTGCCAATAGTTTACCTGGATTTAATGACATTTTTCACAAAAGGAATGGCTTAAGGCTATTTTGAGTTATATAATTTGATACATAGAAGGGGTTTTTTACTATTTTTTGGACGATTTTGGATTAGGAAATCTTATACGATGTTAGAATGTTTGGTCGAACCCCACATTTCAATGCCGTACGCCCAAATGCGCTTTAATATCGGTCGTTTGTTATGAAACGTCAGCTTTGTTGTTTATTTAGCAATCCTGAGGGTGTTGTGTAACGTATAGTCACTTCTTGATTTTTTAATCTTGCAGGTGGTTTCCAAGTTAGTCTTATGTCTACGTACATCCTAAGGTATCGGACTTGTTAATATAGAAAGGCCTATGTGATGTATGTATAGTGGTGGCATTATCCCTCGACGGAGAATAAAAGTTAAAGGTGAGGTAATGATTTGTTCTTCTTCGTTTATGGAGCTTTTGAAACAACTTTATAATAGAAAACTTTCATTGTAAGGAAAAATGAGTTCTTAGGACTGTATTATAAAGCATTATAAAGGTACGTTAAGAAGAGGATTACATTTTTGGGAGAAAGAATTTAATAAGGTCGTATTGAGGAGGTATCTTTTCGGGAAGGATTTTGATAATATACATACCTTTAATGTATGAAAAGCTTTTGTGGGGATAAACGTACAGTCAAAGGAAAAGTCATTACTCTATCAAAATCAAGTGAGGTAATAAGTTTCAAAACGTTGTAGAAACAATAATTATAAAACCATAAACTACCATGAAAACTGTACGCGAAGCTTGGAATAATTAACAAGGTATTTATCGATAGTGCCTAATATTTTGTCACATACAATTTTTATATGACAGATGCGAAAATTTATTGTCAATCATAATCAAATAAATAATTATAAATGTGTTTTTTAGAAGAATTTTCATAATAACATTTTTTCAAACATTTTGATCATACCTTTAAATGAAATTGTTTTTACGTTACGAGAAATGTTAAATTTGCATACCCGAGCGAAAGGGATAATATTTACAATTGACAGGAAACTACCGCTAAACTCGGAATTGGTGGAATGTTTGCCCTTGTTATGCAAAATGGAAGTCTGAACAATATCCTTGCCCCAATTTCCCGTTATCCTCCGAGTTTCTATGTATCGTTTTTCAACTTGTACCGGCTTCGCTTCGTGTCTAGCACCGACCGCAAAGGCCCCAGCCCGACCGCAGAAGGTGAAGAACATGCTAACTAGAAACAATATCAACATGAACCAAAGCGTTGAAGAAAATTCACGTAAGACAACACGGGAAATTGCGGAAGGCTTAGTGTTGTCGTTACCGTTGTTGCTCAAAGAAATCGACTCTTTGAAATTTGCACGTCTCGCAAATTAATAGAAATGATAGATAAATGATGAGTGAGTGTGTTGTTCAATCCTTTTTGAAAGATATTTCCTACTCCCAGTTAATTGTTTTATATGGTCCGGATTTCAAGCGTATAACTCATCATCAGATTGAAGGAATGTACAACCACCTCTCTTGAGATGAATTAACTTAATTATCTTACAATTCACGTCGAGAGACGTGATTGTAAATTCCTTCAACTTGATGATGAGCTATAAGCTTGAAATCCGGATCGGTAAAAACAATTAACTGTGAGAAGGAAATATCTTTCTAAAAATATTTTGCACTTGTCTTCTTGTTGCGCCGCCAAAATGATCCATTTCTCCATCGAATCATCACGCGCAATGAGAAATGGATTCCGTATGATTACAGGAGGCCTACAGGTAAAGGGGTTGAAGAAGGATGAAGCGCTAAAACACTTCGCGAAAACATGTCTGCAACCAAAAAATGTTATGGTGACTGTTTGGTGGCGTACTGCCGGGGTTGTTCAATATAATTTCTTGAATTTTGGTGAAACTATCATCTCATAACCACATTCAAAATGGAGACAACAAATTCATGAAGTAAATTTTATTTTTTAATATTTACGTTCCATCCACGTATCCTATGCAATAAGGATGTACATTACTGAATTCACGAACCAGTTATCCCTCCTTCTTATCTGGCCACTTCTGAAATTTTTCCTTGTCTAAACGATTTATGTGATTTAATTTGGCTATTTTCTCAAATTTCTCGCATTCCATCTTACAATTTTCCATACAAATGAAAAATTGGATTTTCAATCATGATTGAAACTTGATTAGGCTTATCGTTCGACTGCCTTTTGGCATTCTGAAAAAAGAAAAAACTGTTCCTTCAAAACGGAATACAAAAGCTTTACCAACAATAACAGATCATTACAACCTTTGTCAACATTTTTCAATTGTACTAGTAGCCAAGTGCGGCATTAAGGGAAAGAACTGACTTAACATCCAAATAAGAAAAGTCGCGTTCGTAATCTTACTAAATATTTTCGACTCTGCTTAACAAGCTAATATATAAACGAAACAGTACATAATAAATATTTATTACATCTTAGATCAATTTTGTCAGCACTTAGTAATAATATTCAACTTAATTAAAAACTCAGGACAAAATACGAAATAATTACAATTATACGCTTCGATTTTAATGATTACATACTATATTATTGATAGTTGCAATGCAAAAAATATTATTGTCAGGTTTAAAGCAATCTTCCTTGCCGATCTTCGGTCTTCGGGATATTAAAAAGGACCTCTTTCCCCCGCAATATATCCATGTTCACTCATGCCAGAAATTAAGCCATAACCCGAGGCTTAGATCACAATAGCTTTACGTGAGGGATCAAATCTTTTATGTTTACTAAAATAATTTCCTGAATCCCACTCTCGCCCGTAGAAGGAGGGCAATATAGTTTGATCTCCAGTAAAGTCTCGTTTCCTTTTCATCCGCCTTTGCGGTGAAGTCTTGAGTGTTGTTTCAATAACTGTGGTGAATAAATTGTGGTGTCGTCCTCAAAATAATTTTTTGTGTTTTTTAACTTTAATTCAAGAAAAAACTGCTTTGGGAAATGAAATGGAAGATGAACGTGTTAATATCAGGTTGAATAATTATGAGAATATATGAGTGAATATTTATTGGTACGTTAATTATGGTGTATATCATGTTCAGCTGCTCATTAGTGAACATGATGTGTCTTGCTGACGAATCCACTCGGTTATAATAATAATAGTAATAATAATAATAATAATAATAATAATAATAATAATAATAATATTAAAATGGGAATTTTGTATGCATTTGGCCTTCCGAGTTAAGAATTTTAAAAAGAAAAATTAAAGCTTGGATGGCAATAGGATAAATAAGATTACGAGTGAATGTTTGGAGTCAGAGCTTTATAGCACTCAGAAGAGATATAGCTAACCTAAGATAGAAGGTTTGGATGTTAGGGCGTGAAATGACCTTAGCCGTTAAAACGCCCTTAAAAATTAATAATAATNGAGAGAGAGAGAGAGAGAGAGAGAGAGAGAGAGAGAGAGAGAGAGAGAGAGAGGGAGGGAGAGAGAGTTTGTGTGTGTGTGTGTGTGTGTGATACAATAATAATATGTTATGTGACTTAAGTTAGAATTTGAATCAGAACATCCTTAGTCAACACAATCAGAACTGAAGACATTTCTATCAATATGGATATATTACTTGTCACACATACAGACCGTAGTGCCATACTTTCAACAACCCAGATCCGGTATTAGCTTCAAGAAACCTCCAGGATCACCGGAGTATCAGAATCAACGGAAACATATACGTACCAGCAAATAACTTGCACTCTCGACAGTATCACCTCTTATCCAAATGTATTCCGTTGCTCTCCCAGAAGTCAGTATCATTCGCTGTTTAGGAATTAACTTGAAACCCCAAACTGAGGTCAAAAAAATAACACTGAAAAAACGTAATAAACTACATAAAGCACTACGTGACAACAGACGAAAAACGAATCCGGCAGTACACTTTCCTGCTCTGACCAATCTGGACGTACGGATTTAAAATGTGGGACACAACCAAGCTTTTCAGCTTCCAAATCACCCTATCAAGTCCAAAATTATTCGAACCGTTACCTGCCCAAGCACCCTACTTTATATATCCTTAGTATCCAACAACACCTCGAAAGCTAGTCGAAGGCGTTATCAAACCCTTCTCCTTTACTAAATAAGCATTCCTGTTCCCTAGGCTGGCCTGGACAATAAAGATAGTACAATAATAACCAGACTTAGGTCGGACAATGGTATACTTGGGGTGTACCTGCATAAAATAAAACAGCGCCGGAGTAATTTATGTAAAACATGCAACACCATTGAGAATTCGGAACACGTTGTGATGGTTTGTTCTAGATATGGGGAGGAAAAAAATGTTCTCGGCAGAATGAAGGATATTGTTACACTCTATAAAACATTGCTCCTCTTGAACGACGCAGAAATATATAAATGCGTAACAGATTTTGTTTAGCGCAGCGGGATAATGGTCTAGAATAGAAAAGGATTTCTGAGAGCGTAAAGTGGGGTCGTATAGGAACGGTCAGGTCGGTTGCTGCTGGCTAGGTGGTTGTTGGAAATCAGGCTTCCTTAGGATGATTACTGAAGATTTTGACTCTTCAATGATTGTTAGTTACGGTATGTCAACGACACATAAATAAACAAATGATAGTAAACTATTTATTAAAGTTTTCAAGGTCTAGTACATTCGAAAAAATT